AGATAAAACATAGCATTTTACAAAAAGAGAAACTTATAAGCAGGAGAATTTAACCTGTCCACACCCTTGCCATTCCCAGCTGACACCCTTCTAGAAGGTTCACAGAACCCCTACAACTGCATGCAAATTCTGCGCTTCTGTGCACTTTTCAGGAAGAAGGCGGCAGGGTCACTAGTTCCATCTTGTTTTTAATGGACTATGTGCTCAGAGAGCTTTCTAGTCAATTTTTAAAGTTATCATTTTCTGTTTTGCTGTTTCTTATCAGGTGTCATTTCTGGAGTTGGGGATTTGCTAAAGCCACATGATAACAACGATGTCCCTAGAGGTACTGATGCTTCAAGGCTATTGAGTCACCAGCAGGACCTCTAGACAATGTAGCTCCAGGCATTTAGAAGAACCTGCCCCCCCTTCACTCTCAGAATTAGCCACGTCACTAAATCAGGGCATAGGGTTCATTTTTACAGGTATTTCAAAACCATTCCATTTCACTATCTACAATAAAAAAAAAAGATTGTAGTTTCTTTTTAAAGCTTCCCTCTTACCAATTTATTCTTTAGTGAATAATGTGGAAATGATATGAGGTACTAAGATTATATGTGGCATTAATGCAAAGCAAAATGCTGCCTAAAGCATGTTTTATATAACTGCAAATAAAAATGCTTAAAAACACCTGCTGAATCTTGCATTCTTAACCTTCTCCACTTAAAGCAGGGGTTCGCATTATAACCCTGAGCTCCCAACTGGACTCAGCGCCTGACCAGACTGACAGTGGCGAGCCCTCTCCTCCCCTGCAGTCAAAGGGCCTCCTGGGTGAGGTGCGTGTACATGGTATAACCTTGGCCGGAAGGGGCTAGGCAGGAGGGGAAACTATCAGATGACCGGTTTCACATTCAAATTCTTTATAGATGGCCTGAGACTGTGGTCAGCTTTCCACTGTAAGCAACACAGAAGGTTGATTTTCTTTCCTAACTTTCATGCTGCCAGAATACACATGTACTTTTACTTTCTTAGGAGAAAATGTGTCATTTGATTTCCTTCCAGTTTATGTACTCGTGCCAACAACTAAAATGCTTAGAATCAAAATGAATTACTACCCAGAAATGGTGGTCAGAGTTCCAGATTTTGATCAATAAAATTGCTCACCTACTCACAAATTAATCTTCAGCCAGCAAAGTCACACCTTGCCGAGGTTATGAGCACACCTGCATGCACTGTTAAGCACTTATTTTACTCGTTTAAGCAATCTTCAAAAGTATGTAAATATTTATCAAAGCAAGACGACTATTTTTACTCGCATATAATTTTCTTTCGGCGGCAAAAGCTACTAATTATTTCACAGCCCATAAGCCTCCTGAAGGCAGGGCCTGGCCCTCTGTCCAAGGAGCACCGGCACTCACTGGGCGCTATCTGATATGATCTGGAACAAGTGACATTTGATGAAGTCAGATCTACATCACCTAGAATTCACAATTTTCAGTATTTCATTGAAAAAAAAAAAAGCCAGGCAAGTTAATGTGCAAAAAAGGAAGGGTGGGGAGCATTTCCACTACTAAATAGAATCTTTTTTTAAGGACTCGAGGGGCAACGTCCATTCCCCCGTGAACGTCTCCATTATGCGAGAACACCTCGAACGTCTCCATTATGCGAGAACGCCTCGCCCAGCAGCGCAGCCTGTTCAGATTTGGCGCCCCACGTGCATCCGCCACAAACAGTGTCACTCCCTTCCTTACACTCCTCTCCCTAAAATTAGTCCAAATTGGGGATGTTTGCCTACATTTTCTGATCTCTATCGAGTAACCACTTATAGCCGCCTCTAACTTTCCATTTTCTTTTGTTTGTATCATCAGCCTGTGAAACTGGAGAGGCTGCCAAATATAAAGCAGGGAAGTGTGAGATATGCTTAAAATATGAGTCACAGTATATCTGGGGATTTGGGTTTCTTTCTCTCTCTCTTTTTCCCTGCTCCCAGCAGATCAAATCCTTCTTCTCTGTCCAGACTACCTCTACAGGGAAGACCTGCATTTGCTAAACCAGGTCCCTGGCTGTGGTGATGAAGGGTGAGAGGGGCAGAGATGGGCACTGTGAAGACTGACAGTAGAGTTTCCCTTTCATTCCACAGCCACTCAGGCTGAGATATCCCAGTGAGGATGTGGCACAGCAGGCTACATTTACAAAGTGAAGATTATCCCTGCAGTGAATCACCAAGCATATACGCATATTTTTATAACGAGGAAATGGATCATGTTGCCTATGTAAGTAATTTCCCCTCTCTGTTTGTGGAGGGCCAGGCAACCCAATAACGCCGACAGGAGTCACCTGACTCTACCTAACAGTCCAGGAGACATTTTGCAATAGTCAACTAGTCTTGGTCTTTCACACTCAATCTCATTCTTACACACACACACACAGTCTACCAACAGCTTTTCCTCCCCCAACCAAATCTGAGAGCTGGTCTAGGGTCTCCGCTTGTCAACTCCCCCACTGAGGGGTGGCAATGGACAAGAGGCATCTTCTTTAGCAAAACTAGCATTCAAGATTGTCCCCTAACTTTTTATCCAGACCGAAGTGCTCAGCAGAAAGTGTTAGGTGGGTTTTGACACTGTCCTTGCCAAGAAGTGAGGGGGGTGGGGAGGAGGAGAAGAAGACACCGTCTCCCATATTATACTTTCTGTGTGGTAGTTAAAAAGCTCCGCAAGGGCTCTAGGAAAGATAGCCCTCCCAAGGAAATCCCCTGAAACTTCACTTCATCTATTTAGCCCTCCAGGAACGTCATTCATCTTGGAAATGCAGTTACCTTAAAACACCGTATGTTTTCAAAAGCAAGCACATGGAAAACAAGTCTACTAGATTAAAAAAAAATTACAAATGATATTCAATACTGAAGAGCAGAGTGATCAGACAGATTGAATATTTTTTTAAAAAAAACAAAAACAAAAAAACAACCTACCTCCAACCAGAGCTCTGCTTTGTGTACGATTCCACCCATAATAATAATGGTCATTTTCCCAGTGCACTTGAGGTCTATTACATTCAAGGGGACTCGTCATATTTTTAAGGCTGGAGAGCGTCAGGAGTGAGGCAAAGAGAATGGGCAGTTATTTGAATCTCTGAGTGACAGGCTGGGCTAGCTCCCTGTATACATTAATAAATTAGAATTTTAATTGTGTCTCTGTCTGCAGGAGATGCCCCAGCACTTTAATATGTACCAACAATTGGCTATGTTATGGAATCTGCAATGTGGCCTCCGCTGCTGACCTCTGGAACACAATTCCCAGTCTGACTACGGAAACTGTTCAGTTTGATCCTTTCAACTTATTTGAATCCTGACAAATAAGCTCACAGCTGAAAGGGCAACACAGTCATATTTCATCCTCCAAAGCTGTTCTTTAAGACGTCTGCACAACAAAGCACTGCTTATAGCACCTGACGCAGGACCGCAATGGCACTGCCCCTCATTGAAAATGTCCCCAGCATTCGAACATACTCAAAGTCCCATGGCCTGGTGAAGGCTGACCAAGGAACTGTCTGCAGACCTGTTGGTCAACAACCCACATTGCCTTCAACTTGTTGCAACAAACCGTCAGTATGGCACTGAGCGTCCCCAGGAAAGTGACAATTTCCCAAGCAGATGAAGAAGGACTAGAAGGTGGCACCCAAGGTCAGTCCATACCACCCACTGGCAAGATAATATGAAAATCTGTAGGTTCACTCTAACCTGTGATACGTCAACACAAGTTAAAGTTGACTTGACATTGTGACCAACTTATCTGGCACCAAGTTATGCCCTCCAATTATCACTCACCCATTCTGTCATAAAATTTCTAGTGTGAGAAACTCACACTATGCATTTGGTACGCATTTTGGGGATGCCTGCCCTCAGCTATGGAAGCAGTGGGGCCACCTAATGCCTACATGTGTCCTGCCTTGAGGGGGTGGGTCACATCAATACCACTTTCTATCTGGCAGCTAATTACATGCACCTCTGTTGAAGCATGAAAACCCTAATACAAGTAAGTGTCTTTGAAATTTCTACTGCAGCTTTCGGATCGAAGTACAAAATCCAAATTCAACTTTCACGAACTCACTCCTTTCCTACTCCATTGCACTCCCACTGCAATGCGCCTGAAATAAGAAGTAGCTAAAATAATTTTTCTTTTGTACCTGTACATAAAATTATTCTTATTTTTCCCCTAATGGTTAGAAAATATTCTGAGAACTTCCACTAAAGAACAAGGGTACTTATTAGACTTATTACTAGGTATAATAATCAATGTGCCACAATCTCTTCAGTTCTATTGAAGCAGGGCTTTTCAATCCCAACCCCATTTGGGACTGGATCATTCTTTGTTGGAAAGGTTTTACTCTGCTTTGTAGCACAGGTGGGGAACGTGCAGGCTGTGTACTGTATAAGGCCCAAGAAATCATTCATACCAGGGAACATCACACGCCTCACCAAAGAGAAGCCCCTCCAGCCACTGAGCATGAATTACTTAAATGATGTTTCAATATCGGCGAGTTAACAACATCCTTTGCCTCTACCTATTAGGTGTCAATGGTACCCAGTGCGACAGCTAAAGCAATCTTCAGATATTGGCAGATATTCCAGAGCATGGAACTGACCTCAATTGAGAATCACTGTATTAAAGTGTGTATGTGTGTAACTTCATTTCTATAATTACTATGTGAGAATAAGGCTAACAGTTGAGTACTATCAACTTTTTCTCAGAATAAACTACACCATCTATTAAATAACCCAATACGCACAACCACTAATTCTCCTGTTACATTGACCAAGTAGTAAATCCTCCGACTATCCACACAAATCATTTAGTTCAACAGATATTTTCTCCCAAATGTCATATGACGTTGGTACACCTTCTGCACAAGGTTCTCTTATACGATTTTCAATCCTCAGCAATTCACTTTTGAACTGCTTGCCAACTACCCCGTTTGTATAATGTCCATTTACCAAAAAAACTTAAGAGGAAAAAATTGGTAACCTGAAGGGCTGGTTGTTTGTCATTCCTCTTGGGGGATTTTAATCCACTGACTTGTTGCTGTTGCTGCTGCTGCTGCTGCTGTTGCTGCTGCTGCTGCTGCTGCTGCTGTTGCTGCTGTTGCTGCTGCTGCTGCAGAAGGAGCTGTCTTGCCACTTGAAGCGCCTGGAAGGGGAAAACAGAAGAAAATGTTTACCTTACTACACAAGCTCTGGAGCCTCGTTTGCATGATGGATTCCAGAAGGGATCCTGACTTTCCCTTTTCCAGGTAAGTGAACGAGCAAATAAAAGTCCCCCCTACAGTCTACGTTGGACAACTTTCTAGAGCTTGCTTTTTCTCAGAATCTTGGCCAATTACATCCATAGTACTTTGGGCATTAGCAACTAGCCTCAGAGGACACTGTCTTCCTACCAAACTCTGATTGGGGCTTGGATGAAGTCTGACTGAAGAGAGCTCAAATTGGAAGTAATCCTTCCAATTGCATCCAAAGCTAAGAGGTGGGCCCACAGGAAAAGCATTCTACTATGGAGAAGATGACTTAGGAAGAAAGAGCACCCAAGACAGGCCCTGGGTGCCATTGGTAGACTATACAAAAGAAAGGGGTAACAACTTTGATCTCTGATCATCTTCAGGAATATTTTATGTAACTTTGAACAATCATGGCCATGCCCACCACAAATGCCGTTCAAGTTCATAGCAAAGGCTGTTCCTTATTTAAAGGAAGAAATTGAGAAGGTGGGATGAATTGGAGGAAAACTGGTAAGTCTACCAAGGTGAAAAACAAGGGACTGATTAATCTTTTAGAAAAGTTCTATAGAAAAAGGAAAAAGTGCCATCAATAAACTCTCATGAGGCCTTTGATCCTGTCAAAGAATTTACTAAAGAGAGCAACAGGATTAGCAATAGAATACTGACATTTTCTGTTAAAAAAAAAAATCACATGGAAAGGTAGGTTTCTTGAACCACACTCACATGACCACCAAGAATGGAAGCTGTGTCAGGAATGCTCATTCAATGCTTTGTTAAGAAGTCAGAGCCCAAATGAGAGTAGGTGGGAGACGGTGTGTTATATCAATACCACTTTCTATATGGGAGCTAATTATATGTGCCTCAGTTGAAGATGCATATAGTCAACACATCAGAAGCATCTAATTAATGCTGTCTCATATGGACTTATGAGAGTTGTCTGTTCTCCCAAGGAAATGGGTATTTAAAGTTATGTATGAAAAAATGTGAAGAGTTACCTGAAAATGTACAGTGCTAATCATGTAGTGAAGGGCAGGGAAGATGGCTCAAGGGATGCTGTACACTAACTCAGGGGAAAGGGGAAACTGAGTGGTCAAGAAGATTATTGTCCATGAGCAGAGACCCAAGACTTTCCTTTCTCTAAAAGGACAAGTTGGTTAACCAGGCTCCTATCTGCACTACTGTAGCAACCAACACTGTAAGGCACTTTGACAGGTTGAGCGAACGGTTCTTTTGTGTCCACACAGTGCAAAGGAAGGCAAGGAAACAGAAGCACAGACAGATACACGGGTGACAAAGAAAAGATCCCAGGAAAGACGGAGGTCTCCTATCCCACACCTCCCTAGCCTGCCATTCCTCTTCTCCCATGGAAGATGGTCTCTACTGAACTCACCACAACCAGCCTTTCAAACGTAAGACACGGCTATTTTGTCTGTGAAGAGAGAGACATGTTCAAGAGAGCCTGCCTGGAAGAGGCTTGAGAAAGGGGCAGGCTGAGAGGGGCATCTGGAAGCCAAGACAGACACCTCCGAGAGTTGCCTGATACTCCAGCCTACTGGCTCAGTGAAGGATGCACCATCACTGGACTCCGGGTTTCCTTGTCTCCTTGGAGACGCTCAGTACATGCGTAGGTGTAAAAGTGGGCAGAGTGAAGATTTCATTTATATCATATAAGAAAAATAGTCCCCTTTGCAAGGTGCCTGCAGGAGCAAAGCCTCTCCTCCTGCTATATATGTTCCCTTAGCTATTTCACATGAAGGTTTTATGGCTTTTTAATGTAGGGAAGGCAACAGTTATATATCCTAAGTGCTACCATCAGAGTTCCCCAAGTAACAGACAAATCAGCAAGGAAGGGTCTGGATGCTAGCTGGAAAGGCAGACAGCAGGGATGGAGATGGCAGTGACAAGATGCAGCAAGGAAAGATACTGTGGGGAACAAGTGAGAGATTACAGATGATACGAAAATAGAGCAGGCAGAGAAAAATAAGTAATGACTAATGACACAGTCATATACCTTAGTTAATATAATTTACCACGTTTTACCAAATATTTGAAGAATGGGTACTCAGTTTGTAATTCACCAAGTCTTTCCCCATTTCAGCAAAGATATGAGACTACATGACATTAAAGAATCACACATACAGACCATTCATACATGACCATGTTCTCATAAATGCATAGAATTCACAATTATATTGTGATGCCATATGTACACAACAACAGTGTTGCCATCGAGCCATTTGAAAATGTCTACTTCGGGGACACTGTTTCCATTCATTGTGTTGTACAACCACTCACACGCTTACTTTCTCCACAGAGGTTTGCAGAGTTGGCAATACACAAGGGTTTATATCTTTCAAAATTCGTTGCTCCTTTAGGCCTTCGATTTATTTTGCTAGCTTGAAAATCAAAAGCCATTTATGTTTATAATGTCTTACAGACACAACGTGGGGTACATAAATGTACACAATCATCTAATCATCTCTTGTTCTCTCACAGCATTTCATACAGACTTTCAGGGCAGAGGATAATAAAAGACAGAAAGAGGTGGAAACGGTTTAGAAACTTCTCCAAACACAGGGGAACTTTTAGTCAGACCACTCAACAAGACAAACGTGTACAAATTTCTGTCCCCAATGAAGGCAAACTAGAAAAATAATTTCAAATATTTGGGATGTAGATACAATCCTACTGCAAAAAATTACTCATTCTGATATGAAGAATCATACATTAATCCATAACAATTGTCTGGTCTTATCATGAATATGGTGATACAAGTGGAATAAAGCATAATTAAGGATATAAGTGCAGTCCCCTGGGGCCAGAAGAACTCCATGGTGCCCGGCTACTATGACCAGCCCCTCCGACTAGGATCGCAGAGCGTCTTGGACAGAATGGAGGAAGCGTGTGGAAGAAAATGTGAAATCCTAAATAGAGCAGACTTTTACCCGGTCTGAAGAAGATGGGTGGAACCCCCTGGGACTATGGCCCCCTTGGAACCCCTTCAAACTTGGAACTGAATATATAATTGAATGAAAAAACAAGCTTGCTCTGTAAACTTCATTGAAACTATAATGTCTAGTACGTATGTGGATGTATGCATTTATTAGGGATATATATATATATATATATATATATATGAGATCACCTAACATAACAGTAAGAATGTTAAAACTTAATTTATACAATGCTTAAAAACCAACACTGAAAAGTGTTTTCTAATTCCCGGGGCATAAAAATCACTAATATAATATTTAACCCGACACACACATACGCATGCACACACACAAGGTGAGAAATAATGCTTCTGAGTGTACAAGACTATGGATTCAAGCATCACAATACAATTCTCTGGTATGTAGAATTGGCAGAAGTTAAAAATGGTTATGGCCATCTTCAGTGTTAGTCAATGAAACTTTGGAATGACTAATGGGACCTGCTTTGGAAATTCCACCAGGAACCTATGTGTTTCCCACACATGTTTTACTTGATACTATTTAAAAAAAAAAACCTGATAGATGCACAGAAACCAAATTAGAAAGAGAAATTGGATCCCATGGACATATAAAACTACATAAAGATAGGTGTTTGCATATGTATGAGGGAGTGAGGGAATATGACAAATATGAATCTATGAACCAAGTTCTTCTAAAAGTACCAACTTTAAGTCAATACTTTGTAATAGATGGGACAATGGCTGGCACTGGGTTAGACTGCATGGTTCAAGGATGTTCTAGATTTGAGGTAACGGACAGAACCAGCTCAGTTGAACACACTCCCACTTTGGGTCCTTCAGCAAACTAAAGCAAATGTGAGCTAGCAGGGGAAGGAGTCCCCTGTGCGGTGAGAATGGATAACATGCTCAGCTGCTGATCAAAAGAGTCGAGTCCACCCAAGAGATACCCAGGAGTTAGACCAGGTGATTTGTAGTAGAAAAATCAGAAATCTATAAAGGACATTTCTACCCTGGTACACATGGGGCTGCCATGATAGGGAATGACTCAACAGCAACTGGTCTGGTCCAACAGAGGAGGGCATGAGGTACCACCTTATCTGCAGACGGGCTGGTCCTCCTTCTCTGCCTTGGCTGCTACCTATGTCCCTTGGGACTCATCTAATGGGGCGCACCAGGAGGACACGTGCTTCCTTGCAAGGCCAACCAGGTTTTTGAGTTAATGCAGTGTTTTCCAAAGTGGTTGATACCACTCAGGCTGCTGAAATGATAGTGGGGTAGGCTGCTGCAAAATACTTTATCATGGATTATGGGCTACAGAGGGGACTGAGCAATTTGTTTTCTCTCTGAAAACGGGGCAGTAGTCAAAATAGGAACCTAGGGGTTAGTGGGACTCGGGTCTTCCTGAGATGAGATACCTTCCATTTGATTGATTCAAAGTCACATCAGTCTCATCAGTGCTTTCACGGTCCTTGTAAATCAGTGCCATTTGTTGTGTACAAACTAGGTTTAAAAGACATGTTTATGGCTTTGGAGCTAGTTACATGTTAAGTTCATAGGAGATGTTTACAGTTTAAGGGCTAGGTATCCCTATGTTTCACATGTCTATCAGGGTAGCCAATGCCCAGACACATGTTTGCCATATTTTAAGAACCATCATAAAGTTTACATAAATATTGCTTGTGCAAATGCAAAGGTCGAACACACACACACACACACACACACAGCAAGACAATAGAAGGGAAAAGTCTTTATAAATATATTCACATACTAATACTCTAATACCTGAAAGTCTTAAAAAAAAATACGCCTACCAGGAATTTCTAAGGTTACGGAGCCAGTGAACTAGCATGACCCTGGATCAAACCTGCCTATCACCTGTTCGTGTGCAGTCAGTGAAATAAGAACAGCTGCTTTTCTTTCCTTTTTAAGTAGTTGATTTGGGGGGAGGGAATACAAAGAAAA